GGTGGTGCAATACCAGCTAAGCAGTGTAATTTCTCCAGTGGTGTAGGGCGCAGACACCCCGTGATAATGCGGCATGTCTCATAAGAGCCACATCCACTGTTTTAGTGTGGTGAGATATGTTCCACACTGGGCATGCATACTCAGCAGCAGAGTAGCATAGCGCAAGGGCAGATGTCTTCACTATGTCTGGTTGTGATTCCCAGGTTGTGCCAGTCAGCTTTCGTATGATATTGTTTCTAGCGCCCACTTTTTGCTTGATGTTCAGGCAGTGCTTCTTGTAGGTCAGAGCATGGTCCAGAGTGACTCCCAGGTATTTGGGTGCACTGCAATGCTCCAGTGGGATTCCTTCCCAGGTAATCCTCAAAGCTCGGGATGCTTGTCCTTAAGGTGAAAGGCACATGTCTGTGTTTTAGATGGATTAGGGATCAGTTGGTTTTCCCTGTAATAGGCAGTAAGAGCCCCTAGAGCTTCGGAGAGCTTCTGTTCAACCATCTCAAAGCTCCCTGCTTGAGTGGTAATGGCACGATCATCAGCATAGATGAAGCTCTCTGTCCCTTCTGGCAGTGGCTGGTCATTTGTGTAAATGTTGAACATGGATGGAGCGAGCACACTCCCCTGAGGCAGGCCGTTCTTCTGTTTCCGCCATCTGGCCCTGGAACTCAAAAGCTGGAAGTGGAAGTAAGACAATATTTCTATGTATCATAAATACCACTATACTTTGCTCAGTAGCTTTGCACAATAGTCGTGCCACACCCATGGGCAAGAACACTCTAAAGTCCCAGTAGCTCTTGATTCTAGACTACTAATCCTTTAATTCTTTTCTAGTCCACACTAGTCCCTTGGCCATTTTTGGACAAATTTCAGCTCCAACTAATGACTTGTTTCCCTTTTAACAAATGAAGCAATGCTTGATTGATTTTAAAATATTTATTTATTTATTTATTTACAGTATTTATATTCCGCCCTTCTCACCCCGCAGGGGACTCAGGGCGGATTACAGTGTGCATATATATGGCAAACATTCAATGCCATAAATACACAACATATATAGACAGACAAACAGAGGCTATTTAATATTCCAGCTTTTTGATGAGGGTATTCTGGCCACCAGGGGTGCTGTTGCTTCATCGTTCATTTGTGACACTGATGAAGTACTTCCTCGTTCTTTGCATGCTTGCTGGAGATTTTTATGGTGTCGTAAATTAGTTAAATTAACTTCCTCGCATACGCGGTACCTAAATTTCCTACTTGACAGGTGCAACTGTTTTATGGGCTGCAAAGGTTGACAGCAAACTATACAAATTGGTCAGAAGCTCACTCTGACCCGGGCTGGCTTCGAACTCATGACCTTTCGGTCAGTAGTGACCCCCATCCAGCTGCGCCACAGTCCTAGTGCCCGGTTATTATTGTAACTATATAATTACATAGAAGTTCTGGTGCCTAGTTATTATTGTAACTATATACGAGGGGTATTTTTAAAGTAAGGTCCGTTTGAACATAAGTACACAACGAAAGTTTATTTCAAAAAAGTAAATTTATTTTCAGAAAGTACATACTTCACTCTATTTTTCGACATAGTTGCCAAGTTTGTTCAAACACTTATCATACCTCTGAACCAATTTTAAATACCCTCTTCATAAAAACTTGCCGCCTGCTCCGATAACCAAATTGTCTGTAATCAAAGAAGGGCGACCGGAGCGGTCCTCATCATGGACGTTGTCACGGCCATCTTTGAATTGTCGTACCCACTTACGCACTTTGCTTTCACTCATAACAGTATCACCGTACACTTCACAAATCTGTCGATGAATTTCTGCAGCAGGCAGGTTCCTTGCTGACAAAAACCGTATCACTGAGCGAACCTCACATGCGGAGGGTGAGTTGATAGTCTTAAACATTTTTAAAGCACAGAACAGAACCGTACAGGTTAGCTACAGAGCGGAAACTGAAGCACAGTTGTTCCCGAGGCATGCTGGTACATGATGCACGCGCTCGTTGCGGTATGCGCGCGAACTACTAGTGTCTACAACAAAACGGACCTTACTTAAAAAATACCCCTCATAATTACATAGAAGCGACTTTGTCTTATCTGTTGCTAAATTGTTGCTGCATTATTTGGTCGGTGCTAACAAAGTCGTAGTAAACACCAAATGGAATGAAGTAATAAAATTATTGTAGTTTTTTAGGATTAGTAATACACATGCAAGCCAGTATAAATGAATGAATTAATGAATTAATGTTATTATTATGGTCACAGACGAGGAGTGCAAAACTTTAAAACATTAAAAGCCAGTATATACTATATAATATATTGTCAGATATTTACAAGTTATGTTATTCTTGCTGTTCTCTTATGCCCTTAGCAGATATCCCTCTTTTCTACACTGTAACGGTTGCTCAAAACAGCCAGCCTTAATTTAATGAATTCCAGTGACCATTTTTACTATTTACATGACACATGGAAGGAATTGCTAAATTTCAATGGCTATGATATATACTTTATTTTAACGCTGCCTTCTTGCTTGGTCTTTATATATGCTGCTTTTTACACAGGTATCAAATCATTAATTTTTATGTTTGCATGTATTGCTGTTTCCTACTGAATGCTGAAAGACTGCATCACGTAAGGGATTAATGTGTGTCTATGTTTCTTCAAGTTGCCTTGAAGAAATGTAGACATACATTAATCATTACAGGGAATACCATTGCTGAAACGTATGGACCAGGGGTCCTCAAACTTTTTAAAGAAAGGGCCAGGTCACAGTCCCTCAAAGTGTTGGAGGGCTGGATTATAATTCGGAAAAAAAATGAATGAATTCCTATGCACACTGAGCGTATCTTATTTTAGTGCTAATAACACTTAAAAACAATACAATAATTAAAATGAAGAACAATTTTAACAAATATAAACTTATTAGTATTTCATTGGGAAGTGTGGGTCTGCTTTTGGCTGATGAGATAGGATTGTTGTTGGTGTTGTTGTGTGCTTTTAAGACATTTCAGACCTAGGCTGACCCTGAGCGAGGGCCGGGTAAATGACATTAGAGGGCCGTATTCGGCCCCTGGGCCGTAGTTTGAGGACCCCTGGTATGGACTTATAGCAACCCCATAAGTTTCAGTGTTTTGGACAAGGAATATTCAGAGGAGGTTTTGCCAGTTCCTTCCTCTGCTGTTCTACATTTGCTCTTTGTTTGGATTATCTTATCTTACTCTAACCCTTTTCGTAGTCTTCCAGTGCCCTGTATATATGCATGGTCCGAGTGCTATGTAACTGTTTTGGAATTTTGCAAGTCATTGCTGAGGCTATATTTAGAACTTGTATGATCAAAATATTTTCAGCAATCAGAGCAACAGACTTCCAGCTATGGCAGACATACCAATCTAAGGGGGTTGGTTCTTCTTGGGCCTCACCATTTTGGAGTGGGGACAAATGCAAAAGCAGGATTTTATTTTGCATCTGAACTGAGTTAGATGTCGGTTATGATACAATTTGCTCCAAAAGTAGAGTGAAAAAAAAAAGGAATTGAATAAGCTCAACTATAAGAGTTGTAGTTTAGAGCTTTGATTAAATCTCCTGAAATCAGAAAAGCCTGAGATTTAAAGAGGTCAATGGACTATCTTTTAAGACCACTTTATATCTGGCACTTTTTGTTGTTGTTTATTTGTTCAGTCGCTTCCAATTCTTCCTGACCTCATGGACCATCCCATGCCAGAGCAGAGGGGTGGTATGTGCCCTGTATGACGCTCTGGTGAGTGATCTGGCTGCCGCCCGTTGGACTAGTTGAAGTTTCCGAATAGTCTTCAAAGGCAACCCCACATAGAGTGCGTTGCAGTAATCTATTCGGGATGTAACAAGAGCTGTGAACCGTGGCCAGATCTGGCTTCCCAAGGTACGGGCGCAACTGTAGGTAGGTAGGTAGGTAGATAGATGGATGGATCAGGAGGACTGCTGGGAGTTGCAGTCCAAGAATAGGTAGAGAAGGAAGAAAGAGGAGAAAGGGGAAGGGAAAGAAAAAGGGGGAGGAAGAGAAGACAGGAAGGAAGAAGGAGGAAGAAGAAGGAGAGAAGGAAAGAAAAAAGAAGGAAGGAAGGAAGGAAAGAGGGAGGGAAGGCTGGCCACAGCAACGCGTGGTGGGTACAGCTAGTAATAATAATAATGATACTTGGGAAGTGTCCGATGTGTGATCGAATACAACAGCCAGCAGAGTGTCTGCTGTGGACTCATCTTGTTGTGTTTCAAATAATAATAATAATAATAATAATAATAATAATAATAATAATTTGTTCAGTCGCTTCCAATTCTTCGTGACCTCATGGACTATCCCATGGCAGAGGGGTGGTATGTGCCCTGTATGACGCTCCGGTGAGTAATCTGGCTGCCGCCCGTTGGACTAGTTGAAGTTTCCGAATAGTCTTCAAAGGCAACCCCACATAGAGTGCGTTGCAGTAATCTATTCGGGATGTAACAAGAGCATGGACCACTGTGGCCAGATCTGGCTTCCCAAGGTACGGGCGCAACTGGTAGGTAGGTAGGTAGGTAGGTAGATAGATGGATGGATCAGGAGGACTGCTGGGAGTTGCAGTCCAAGAATAGGTAGAGAAGGAAGAAGAGGAGAAAGTAGAAGGGAAAGAAAGGGGGGAAGGAAGGAAAGAGGAGGAAGGAAGGAAGGAAGGAAGGAAGAGAAGGAGGAGGAAGGAAGGAAGGAAAGGAAAGGAAGGGAAAGGAAGGAAGGAAGGGAGAAGGAAAGAAAAAAAGGGAAGGAAGGAAAGAGGGAGGGAAGGCTGGCCACAGCAACGCATGGTGGGTACAGCTAGTAATAATAATAATAATGATACTTGGGAAGTGTCCGATGTGTGATCCAATACAACAGCCAGCAGAGTGTCTGCTGTGGACTCATCTTGTTGTGTTTCAAATAATAATAATAATAATAATAATAATAATAATAATAATAATAATAATAATAACTGTTTCTCCTTTTGTCTCTTGAAATCTTTAATAGGGCAAGAAGCAGCGGACTCGTTGTGGTCTGCACAACCACTGTGAAAAATGTTTCAATCGATATTGCCAGGTTCCAGTTGAGCCTGCTGTGTCTTGTGTGGTGATCAGCTGCCGATCTCGCTGCGGTGCTGCCTTTCATATGTGTAAAGAGGATGAGCACCAGCTCCTGTGTCCTCTAGAGCAAGTTTCATGTCTCAACTCTTTTTATGGCTGCCCTTTTACAATGGCTCGTTTTAAAATGGCAAAACATCTACAAGTCTGCCCAGCCAGTGTTGTTTCCTGCTCGATGGACTGGAATCGGTGGCCATGTGTGGACTCGGAAGCTATTCTGCATGAGAATATTATGAAAGAAGAGCCCAGAGAAGATTGTCTTGATGTGGCCCTAGCTATGAAAGATCAAAAAAATCTCTTTGAGGCACTCAAAATGGTCGAACTTTTCCCAGAGTGCAAAGAGGAAGAAATAGATGCTAATATTGAGGACATAGATGAACCTGCTGAAGGAGCAGTTGGTGAGTCTGAAGCAAATTATGCTCATACAGCTGAACTTAGCCAGCATGAACGTGAGCAGCTGGCAAAGGACAAAGAAGGTATGGATTTAATTGGTTATAAAGCCTGGGAAAGTATGTTTAGCAAAGAATTTACAGCATGTACTGTAACAGGTGCATCAGCTGACAAAGGGAAACAAAAAACAGGGAGTAAAGGGCAGAGTTCAAAGAGTTGTGTGTCGGAAGAAAGGAATAGTGCAGAAGAAAGTGACGTTCAGTCCCCTTCTCAAATTAATTTAGCAGCTGAAAAGACAGGCCTGGCTCCTTGGCAAGATGGCGTACTGGAGAGACTAAAAACAGAAGTTCCTATAGGGGAGTACAATATGTATCTGGTCCACCATGGACGGATGCTCATTCATTTCGGTCAGATGCCTGCCTGCACCCCTAGAGAGAAAGACTTTGTATATGGAAATCTGGAAGTTCATGAAGTGAAGACGGAGACAACCTTCAAAGTTCCAACCAGCTATTGTGGCAGAAGAGCCCGACTTGGTGATCCAACAGCACACAAGAAACCGACTAAGAGCATATCTGTGGATACTTCTGACTTGGGAATAAATTTGGAGGAACTTCCTAAATGCAGTGCCATAAAAACTACACTGTTGTGTGCCCTGGAGAAGGAATTGAAAGGACATGAGATATCTCAGACAGGCAGTACTGATGCTCTATATGTGGATTTTGGTACGCAAACATATAGGTTTGCCACGGAGCCTTTCACTTCCACAACAGTTCTAGCAGACATTCTAGATGTAAGTGATCCGCCCAACCTCAACTTACAGCTTCACAGTGAGAGCGTAACCCAAAGGCACAACAAAAGTAGCTCTGCTTTCACTTTTTCTTGCAACCACTTCTTCCGCAGAGATGAATTTCCTTCACATTTCAAGAATGTTCATACCGATATCCAGTCGTGTCTCAATGGATGGTTCCAACGTCGCTGTCCACTTGCTTATCTGGGCTGCACTTTTGTTCAATATCCCTTGTGCCCTTCTGGACAAAGATCCAACGTTATCTACAGCCAGCATCTCAAGACATTTGCCGTGAAGCCAGAGGTTGACCCTGTCCTCTTACAAATAAATAAAAACACATTGATAAGAAATAACCAAGGGAAACAAATGGATGTTCTAAGCATTTTGCCCTTGGAGATCCTCAAGTACATAGCTGGGTTTCTGGATAGCTTCAGTTTGTCTCAGCTGGCTCAGGTGTCTGTACAAATGAGGGAGATCTGTGCTACTCTTCTGCAAGAAAGAGGAATGGTTTTTCTGTTGTGGGAAAAGAAAAAATACAGTCATGGGGGCACTTCGTGGAGAATCCGCAGAAAGGTAAGCAATGGACAGCTGGAAGGTATGGTGGCAACATCTTGAACTGGTTTACTAAAATATCCACATTGTTCTCTGGGTTTTGTTTATGGCTAGTTTTCAGATGACACCAAATTGGGAGGGATAGCCAATACTCCAAAGGACAGGAGCAGGATTCAAAACGATCTTGACAGATTAGAGAGGTGGGCCAAAACTAACAAAATGAAGTTCAACGGGGACAAATGCTCCACTTAGGCAGAAAAAACGAAATGCAAAGATACAGAATGGGGGACAATGCCTGGCTTGAGAGCAGTACGTGTGAAAAAGATCTTGGAGTCCTCGTGGACAACAAGTTAAACATGAGCCAACAATGTGATGTGGCGGCAAAAAAAGCCAATGGGATTTTGGCCTGCATCAATAGCAGCATAGTGTCTAGATCTAGGGAAGTAATGCTACCCCTCTATTCTGCTTTGGTTAGACCACACCTGGAATATTGTGTCCAATTCTGGGCACCACAATTGAAGAGAGATATTGACAAGCTGGAATGTGTCCAGAGGAGGGCAACTAAAATGATCAAGGGTTTGGAAAACAAGCCCTATGAGGAGCGGCTTAAGAAGCTGGGCATGTTTAGCCTGGAGAAGGCTGAGAGGAGATATGATAACCATGTATAAATATGTGAGAGGAAGCCACAGGGAAGAGGGAGCAAGCTTGTTTTCTGCTTCCTTGGAGACTAGGACGCGGAGCAATGGCTTCAAACTATAAGAGAGGAGATTCCATCTGAATATGAGGAAGAACTTCCTGACTGTGAGAGACGTTCAGCAGTGGAACTCTCTGCCCCGGAGTGTGGTGGAGGCTCCTTCTTTGGAAGCTTTTAAACAGAGGCTGGATGGCCATCTGTCAGGGGTGATTTGAATGCAATGTTCCTGCTTCTTGGCAGGGGGTTGGACTGGATGGCCCATGAGGTCTCTTCCAACTCTTTGATTCTATGATTCTATATCTTAACATTTTAGCAGTACAAGCAATTGTTGTTTATTTTAGTTCAGTTTTGTTTACCTAATCTAGAACTCTGACAAATAGGCAGAGCTGGTGGCTCTGATATTTTGGAGTAGTGGTCCCATTCCTGTTTACACTGAAGTCTCCTGTGTAGTTTTTGCAGATTTTAGCAGCTTCTCTATCTGTTCAAAAACTGCCCAGGACATTTAACAGCTAGGCAGTTTTTCTCTTATTTACAGGAGTGCAGAAGAACTGTGGAATGCCATTAAAAATGAGAGCAGAGCCAGCCTACCTTGTTTTAGAAGTTAGCAATGGAATTTAGGCAGTGGGTCTACAAATCCGGATTGCCAGGAGAAGCGAGGGGCAACTATATTATTTCATTTTGATAAGTAATGATAATAATAGTAAAGATCCCAGCCTATATAATGTATGTTGGCCTCGCATAACCTGAATCAGAATTATTTTTAACAGTCCCATCACACTAGAGCAGTGTTTCTCAACCTTCCTAACGCTGAGACCCCTTAATAGTTCCTCATGTTGTGGTGACCCCTAACCATAAAATTATTTTCGTTGCTACTTCATAGCTGTCATTTTACTATTATTACGAATTGTAATGTAAATCTCTCTCTCTCTATATATATATAAATGGTCCATGCATAATGAGTACCTTAAAAACAAAACGAAATCACACCAAATTTGGCAACAAAACGTCTCACAACACAAGGAGTGACCATCACTCAAAAATATGATTTTGTCATTTGGGAGTTGTAGTTGCTGGGATTTATAGTTCACCTACAATCAAAGAGCATTCTGAACTCCACCAACGATGGAATTGAACCAAACTTGGCACACAGAACTCCCATGACCAACAGAAAATACTGGAAGGGTTTGGTGGGCATTGACCTTGAGTTTTGGAGTTGTAGTTCACCTACATCCAGAGAGCACTGTGGACTCAAACAATGATGGATCTGACCAAACTTGGCACGAATACTCAATGCCCAAATATGAACACAGATGGAGTTTGGGGAAATAGACCTTGACATTTGGGAGTTGTAGTCACTGGGATTCACAGTTCACCTACAATCAAAGAGCATTCTGAACCCCACAAATGACAGAATCGGGGCAAACTTCCCACACAGAACCCCCATGACCAACAGAAAATACTTAAGGCCATCCAATCCAACTCCCTTCATCAGGGCAAGAAAACATAATCAAAGTCCTCCTGACAAAGAGCCATCCAGCCACAGATATAGATAGATAGATAGATAGATAGAAAGAAAGAAAGAAAGAAAGATAGATAGATAGATAGATAGATAGATAGATATGATTCACACACACACAGATATAGTATCATATTAAAAACCAACACTTTCTCATTACTTTATTTTCCAGATCAAGAGATTGGGACACAGCAACGCGTGGCAGGGGACAGCTAGTATCTTATATGCAGGATGTATTTTCATTCACTGGACCAAATTTGGCACGAATACCTGATATGCCCAAATTTGAGTAGGATTGGTGGGATTTGGTGGGATTGGGGAGAGGATTGATTTTGTCATTTGGGAGTTGTAGTTGCTGGGATTTATAGTTCACCTACAATCAAATTCCACCAACGATGGAATCGAACCAAACTTGGCACACCGAACTCCCATGAGCAACAGAAAATACTGGAAGAGTTTGGCAGGCTTTGACCTTGAGTTTGGGAGTTGTAGTTCTCCTACACCCAGAGAGAACTTTGGACTCGAACAATGATGGATCTGGACCAAACTTGGCACAAATGCTCAACATACCCAAATGTGAACACTGGTGAGTTTGGTGGAGGGGGATTGATTTTGACATTTGGGAGTTGTATTGCTGGGATTTATAGTTCACCTACAATCAAAGAGCATTCTGAACCCCACGAATGATTGGGGCAAACTTCCCACACAGAACCCCCATGACCAACAGATAATACCGTTTATTTCTGATGGTCTTTGGCAACCCTCAAAAGGGTTGAAAAACACTGCACTAGAGCATGGATCCATTCGAGGGGCAACTATATAATTTCATTTGTATAAGTAATTATAATAATACTAAAGATCCCAGCCTATATAATGTATGTTGGCCTCACGTAACCTGAATCAGTCTCATCACACTAGAGCATGGATCCACTTTCAATACAGCTTCTGCTTCCTGCAGGATTCTGGGGCTTGTGGTTTAGGGAAGGGCCATCAAAATGCTTAGCCAAATGGTTCCCGGGCCTCACTAAATTATTTCGAAATAAAGAGGGGGAAATGGGAGTGAAGTAGGATTTATAGAGGAAAGTAAAAACAGAGAGGGAAGATTTCATGCAATTTTCCCACATATTGTTTTCAAAAGAGGACTCAACCATTACAATCCTTTCTGGTAATGCTGTCAGACTGACTGGGCAGTAATGCAAAGTTACAGAATGGGGGGCGTGTGACTCTAGAGCAGTACATGTGAAAAAGATCATGGAGTCCTTGTGGACAACAAGTTAAACATGAGCCCACAATATGATGCAGCGGCAAAAAAAGCCAATAGGATTTTGGCCTGCATCAATAGATGTATAGCGTCTAGATCTAGGGAAGTAATGCTACCCCTCTATTCTGCTCCGGTTAGACCACACCTGGAATATTGTGTCCAATTCTGGGCACCACAATTCAAGAGAGATATTGACAAGCTGGAATGTGTCCAGAGGAGGGCGACTAAAATGATCAAGGGTCTGGAGAACAAGCCCTATGAGGAGTGGCTTAAAGAGCTGGGCATGTTTAGCCTGAAGAAGAGAAGGCTGAGAGGAGACATGATAGCCATGTATAAATATGTAGAGAGGAAGTCACAGGGAGGAGGGAGCAAGCTTGTTTTCTGCTGCCCTGGAGACTAGGACGCAATGGAGCAATGGCTTCAAACTACCAGAAAGGAGATTCCATCTGAACATCAGAAAGAACTTCCTTTGACGTGAAATCATTTGTTGAACATAACAAACCTTGATTTAAAGAATAACGAGGAAAAAAAATATTTTACCTGTCAGCAGCTGCAAGAATATTAATTGCACAAAAATGGAAAATTAAAGATCCCTTCCAATGAGGAATGGATTAAAAAATAGAATTTATGGACTTGGACAGACACTCATATTTATTAAAGGATCAGGGTAAGGAAAGACAAATAAACTGGAGCCAATTAAAAGAATACCTAAGAGAGAAAAACAAGCTCAATATATAATATCAGGTATTAGGAGTCAAACTGAGCATGGAATGAATGACAGACCACAAGAAGATGTATAAAACTCAACGACATTTCGGTTTTTTAATTTAATTTTCTCTTTGCACCGAAGTGTGGATTGCCCCTACCCGACATCCCCCACCCATACCCTCCGCCTACTACACCTTGTCACTCTATCAATTTTCTACTTTCCTGTCACTCCGATTGTTCTCCCTCTTTCATTGTTAAAGGAAAAACTAACAATAAAAATTATACATTAAAAAAAGACAGTGAGAGCTGTTCAGCAGTGGAACTCTCTGCCCCAGAGTGTGGTAGAGACGCCTTCTTTGGAGGCTTTTAAACAGAGGCTGGATGGCCATCAGTCGGGGGTGCTTTGAATGTAATTTTCCTGCCACTTGGCAGGGGGTTGGACTGGATGGCCCATGAGGTCTCTTCCAACTCTATGATTCTAATGGTCTGGGTCCTCTTTTGAAAACATTATGTGAAAAATGCATGAAATCTTCCCTCTCTTTTTTTACTTTATTCTATAAATCATAATTCACTGCCATTTTTCCTTCCTTCTTTGGAAATAGTTGAACTAAGAGTTATCCAGAATCATAGACTACTGGAATTAGAAGGAACTGCAAGATGACCCATATATAGTTGTCCATAAATTGAATTTTCCTTGATAAATACTCTTATAAATAAATCTTGTTCTATTTGACTTTCAAAAGATCTCTACTGTGCATCTTTCCATCATCAAGCTTTGGTGATAGTTCCAGCATTTTTAACATCCTGTTACTACAGAAAAGCCTCTTAACAAACAGTTACTTTGGAAAAAGTAAGAGGAAAAAGTAACAGGGAAAAACCAGTGTTGGCAGGAGTGGGAAAAGTTTACCTCAAATACTCATTTTAAAAATCCTAAGACAACTTAGGTTGGTGGCAGCTTTAATACAAAAGAAGGTTAAAGAAAAGCAGTGTTCACTTCGCTATATCACATATACATTATCGTCTCGCAACTATATTGGAGGCACAGGGGTGGGATTTTTGAAGAATAGGAAATCTTTGGGGAAGATCCATCCTGCCCAGACATAATACTAATAAGCCTCCAGCCTCGCATCACCGTTTGTGTTATATATACATTATATTGGTGTCCAGTGGTGTGATAGTATACATAACTTGTTAAAGTGGTGACAAGTGTCGTGATTTAATTCATAATTTGTTATAACCTCCTTGTCTATGTTTCTTGTTTATGTTTCTTGACAGATATGGAAGTTTAGCAACCTCTTTTCTACAATTAACAACTGGCAGTTCCGTGACATCCCTTCTATGGCTGTTCATTTGAAGACCTGCCCTTTCAATGATGTGGAGCACAAGAAGGATCCTGTTTTGCTGGCTAGCATGCTTTCGCCGGAAGAGGAGGTCCAAGAGACTTTAGTCTCGACACTGAGACGTGGACGTGATTCGACGAAAATTCAGAAAAGACTGTTCTGAGACCTGTTATAAAAGGTGTTTCAGTTTTGAAATAAAATACCTGAAATTCATGAGGTATTGTCCATTATTATTTCATGCTTTAAAAAACTCTAACAATGTAATCCAGAATTGCTGTCCAGAAATCCAGAAAGCCTTCGACAATATAGTAATCCAGAATTAATTGAAATCAATGGGAACTTTATCCCTTACATCCAAAGGTTTCAGGACCATGACAAGTGTCTGAGCAGAAAAGTGAGTGAATTATCTACGTACAGGCAGTCCCCAAGTCTATATAAATAAAAATGTAATGTTCGTTTGTGGGATTAACATAACTCAAAAACTACTAGATGAATTGCCGCTTGATAGATGCAGGGAATGCTGTGGATGTAGCATATCTTGATTTCAGTAAGGCCTTCGACAAAGGCTTCCATGGTCTTCTTGTATGCAAACTAGTCAAATGTGGGCTAGGCAATGCTACTGTTAGGTGGATCTGTAATTGGTTAAGCGACCAAACCCAAAGGGTGCTCATGAATGGTTCCTCTTCATCCTGGAAAGAAGTGACTAGTGGGATGCAGCAGGGGTCTGTCCTGGGCCCAGTACTGTTCAACATCTTTATTTAATAACTAGCCGTCCCCTGCCACACGTTGCTGTGGCCCACATGGGGGTTCTGTGTGGGAGGTTTGGCGCAATTCTATTGTTGGTAGGATTCAGAATGCTCTGTGATTGTAGGTGAACTATAAATCCCAGCAACTACAACTCCCAAATGTCAAGATTCTATTTTCCCCAAACTCCACCAGTGTTCACATTTGGGCATATTGAGTATTCATGTAGAGTTTGGTCCAGATATCATTGTTTGAGTCCACAGTGATCTCTGGATGTAGGTGAACTACAACTCCAAAACCAAAGGACACTGCCCACCAAACCCTTACAGTGTTTCCTGTTGGTCATGGAAGAACTGTGTGCCAAGTTTGGTCCAATTCCATTGTCAGTGGGGTTCAGAATGCTCTTTGATTGTAGGTGAACTATAAATCCCAGCAACTACAACACCCAAATGACAAAATCAATTTTTTTGAGTGAAGGACATACATTGGGTTGTTAGGTGTCTTGTGTCCAAATTTGGTGTCAATTCGTCCAGTGGTTTTTGAGTTCTGTTAAACCCACAAACGAACATTACATTTTATTTATATAGACTTGGATGATTTAGAGGCATGTGTATCAAGTTTGCAGATGACACTAAATTAGGAGGGATAGCTAATACTCCAGAGGTCAGGATCAGAATTCAAAATTTAATTATTTATTTATTGTGTCAGAAGCGAATTGAGAAGACAGATATAATGCATAAAAACCAAAATGATCTTAACAGATTAGACAGCTGGGCCAAAACTAACAAAATGAATTTCAACAAGGACAAATGTAAGATACTCCACTTAGGCAGAAAAAACAAAATGCAAAGATAGAGAATGGGGGACAATGCTGGCTCGAGAGCAGTACGTGTGAAAAAGATCTTGGAGTCCTTGTGGACCACAAGTTAAACATGAGCCAACAATGTGATGTGGCGGCAAAAAAAGCCAATGGGATTTTGGCCTGCATCAGTAGGAGCATAGTGTCTAGATCTAGGGAAGTAATTCTCTATTCCGCTTTGGTTAGACCACACCTGGAATATTGTGTCCAATTCAGGGCACCACAATTCAAGAGAGATATTGACAAGCTGGAATGTGTCCAGAGGAGGGCGACTAAAATGATCAAGGGTCTGGAGAACAAGCCCTATTAGGAGCGGCTTAAGGAGCTGGGCATGTTTAGCCTGAAGAGAAGGATGAGATATGATAGCCATGTATAAATACGTGAGAGGAAGTCACAGGGAGGAGGGAGCAAGCTTGTTCTGCTTCCCTGGAGATTAGGAAGTGGAACAATGGCTTCAAACTACAAGAAAGGAGATTCCATCTGAACATGAGGAAGAACTTCCTGACCGTTCAGCAGTGGAACTCTCTGCCCCGGAGTGTGGTGGAGGCTCCTTCTTTGGAAGCTTTTAAACAGAGGCTGGATGGCCATCTGTCAGGGGTGATTTGAATGCAATATTCCTGCTTCTTGGCAGGGGGTTGGACTGGATGGCCCACGAGGTCTCTTCCAACTCTAGGATTCTATGATTGACAAGCTGGAATGTGTCCAGAGGAGGGCGACTAAAATGATCAAGGGTCTGCAGAACAAGCCCTATGAGGAGCGGCTTAAAGAGCTGGGCATGTTTAGCCTGAAGAAGAGAAGGCTAAACATGCCTTCTCTTATACATGATAGCCATGTATAAGTATGCGAGAGGAAGTCACAGGGAGGAGGGAGCAGGCATGTTTTCTGCTGTCCTGGAGACTAGGACAATGGCTTCAAACTATAAGAGAGGAGATTCCATCTGAACATGAGGAAGAACTTGACTGTGAGAGCTGTTCAGCAGTGGAACTCTCTGCCTCAGAGTGTGGTGGAGGAAGTTATGAGGAGTGAGCAAACATGTTTTCTGCTGCCCTGGAGACTCTGATGTGGAACAATGGCTTCAAACTAGAAGAAAGGAGATTCCATCTGAACATGAGGAAGAACTTCCTGACCGTTCAGCAGTGGAACTCTCTGCCCTGGAGTGTGGTGGAGGCTCCTTCTTTGGAAGCTTTCAAACAGAGGCTGGATGGCCATCTGTTGAGAGTGCTTTGAATGCAATATTTCTACTTCTTGGCAGGGGGTTGGACTGGATGGCCCATGAGGCCTCTTCCAACTCTAGGATTCTAACTGGTAGTGTAGACCCAGCTTCAGATTTGCAGGTGCCATCTTGTCTATCTATCTGTGTATTGTTGGTGATGCTGAAATTCGTGTGTGCCTCACAAGGCTGGAGACAAAATTGCTTACTAACTGTATAGGGCAATTTCAAAATGTATCATGCAGTTTGCCTGCATTCTGCCACTGCCTTCCATGGCTGTGTAGACCCCACCTCAAAGCCAGGCCTTTCTCCCTTGGCTGCCTTCCTTCCCGCCTCGCCAAAGGAACCTCTCAGGAAAGGAGCCACAGCGGAGGGGGGAACGTGCCTCCTTGGAAGAGCGGAGCGAGGCGGCTCTTCCCCGCCGTCGGCCCCCTCCCTCCGCCTCGCCAGGGCCGTTCCTGCGGGGGAGGGGGAGAGGGGTCCGCGCCGCGCGAGACGCTCCGAGGAGGGAGGGGGCGGAAGTAGTCGTAGCCTAGGCAACAGGGAGAGACGGGGCCTTGCGCAGCCCCTTCCCTCGGCCCTGCAGGGTAAGTCCGCGCCTGAGAAGGCCTCACCTGAGTTGAGGGTGAAGCGCCTGTTGTGTGCTGTTAACTGCCTTCTACAAAGAGTGACAAATGCAAGATACTCCTGAGGAGGGCGACTAAAATGATCACAGATCTGGAGAACAAGCCCTATGAGGAGCGGCTTAAGGAGCTGGGCATGTTTAGCCTGAAGAAGAGAAGGCTGAGAGGAGATATGATAGCCATGTATAAATATGTGAGAGGAAGCCACAGGGAGGAGGGAGCAAGCTTGTTTTCTGCTTCCTTGGAGACTAGGATGCGAAACAATGGCTTCAAACTACAAGAAAGGAGATTCCATCTGAACAGAGGAAGAATTCCTGACTGTGAGAGCTGTTCAAGCAGTGGAACTCTCTGCCCCGGAGTGTGGTGGAGGATCCTTCTTTGGAAGCTTTTAAACAGAGGCTGGATGGCCATCTGTCAGGGGTGCTTTGAATGCAATATTCCTGCTTCTTGGCAGGGGGTTGGACTGCGTGGCCCATGAGGTCTCTTCCAACTCTTTGATTCTGAGTGCCAAAACTGGCCCATGCCTGAGAAACTAGGGACCTTCCACACAGCCATATAACCCGGAATACCACGGCAGATAATAATAATAATAATAATACTATATTTATATACCGCTCCATCTCGCCACGGGGACTCAGAGCGGTTCCCAAGTAACATCACAAAACATACAGAGTAAAAACAAAATAACCATAAGATTAGCATAATAATAAAACTCTATAACCCACAATATCTGCTTTGCACTGGGTTATCTGAGTCCACACTGCCATATAATCCATTTCAATGTGGATTCTATTCAGCTGTGTGGAAGGGCCCCAAGTCATCTCATCCTCAGGTCTTCCTTGCTTGAATGCAACCACCCACCCATCATCCAGGGCCCTTCCACACAAAGGTGAGGTGGATCTGTAATTGGTTAAATGGACGAACCCAGAGGTGATTCTCCCCAAGGCTTCCTCTTCATCCTGGAAAGAAGTGACGAGCGGAGTGCCGCAGGGTTCCGTCCTGGGCCCGGTCCTGTTCAACATCTTTATTAATGACTTAGATGAAGGGTTAGAAGGCAGGATCATCAAGTTTGCAGACGACACCAAATTGGGAGGGATAGCCAATACTCCAGAGGACAGGAGCAGGATTCAAAATGATCTTGACAGATTAGAGAGATGGGCCAAAACTAACAAAATGAAGTTCAACAGTGACAAATGCAAGATACTCCACTTAGGCAAAAAAAAAAAATGCAAAGATACAGAATGGGGGACGATGCCTGGCTCGAGAGCAGTTCGTGTGAAAAAGATCTTGGAGTCCTCGTGGACAACAAGTTAAACATGAGCCAACAATGTGATGTGGCGGCAAAAAAAGCCAATGGGATTTTGGCCTGCATCAATAGGAGCATAGTGTCTAGATCTAGAGAATAGGCTTGTTTGATCAAGGAAAAAAAAGGTTTTGAACTCGTTTCGTATGTAGGGGGCGCTGGAGGTTCGTTTTTTAAATTATTTCCGAAATTTTCCTTTAAAAAAGATCGAAATTACCAGGAAATACGAATTGTTTCGTTTGTTTCGTTAATGGAAGGTGCCCTTCCCTCCCTCTAGAACCATTAAAATCTCACAGTTTCCCTTCCAGCCCTTGCGACAGAAGGGAGAGGTGGGCGTGGCCAAGCACAGGGCTCCTCCCAGGCCTCGCCCCCAGCCACCTCCAAGCAAGGAGCCCTGTGCTCGGCCACTCCCAGCTCTCCCTTGGACAGCTGGCCAGGGAGGAGAAGAAAGGGGACGGATTTTAAAAGTGTTGGTCTTTAAATCCGTCCCCTTTCTTCTCCTCCCTGGCCAGCTGTCCAAGGGAGAGGTGGGCGTGGCCAAGCACAGGGCTCCTCCGAGGCCTGTTCCTAAAAGCCACGCCCCCAGCATTTACGATTCACTGGTGGACGTCGTAAGGAAGATGGGGGTGTGGCTTCGTTATTGCAAAAACACTTCCGGGTTCCCAGAAAGCCTCAAAATCGCTTCTAATTATAAAAAAATAACGATTAAATAACGAGTAACAAAAATAATGATCTCAATCAAACAACCCTACAAGGGAAGTAATGCTACCCCTCTATTCTGCTTTGGTTAGACCACACCTGGAATATTGTGTCCAATTCTGGGCACCACAATTCAAGAGAGATATTGACAAGCTGGAATGTGTCCAGAGGAGGCAACAAAATGATCAAGGGTCTGGAGAACAAGCCCTATGAGGAGCGGCTTAAGGAGCTGGGCATGTTTAGCCTGAAGAAGAGAAGGCTGAGAGGAGATATGATAGCCATGTATAAATATGTGAGAGGAAGCCACAGGGAGGAGGGAGCAAACTTGTTTCCTTGGAGACTAGGACACAAAACAATGGCTTCAAACTACAAGAGAGGTGATTCCATCTGAACATGAGGAAGAACTTCCTGACTGTGAGAGCCGTTCAGCAGTGGAACTCTCTGACCTGGAGTGTGGTGGAGGCTCCTTCTTTGGAAGCTTTTAAACAGAGGCTGGATGGCCATCTGTCAGGGGTGATTTGAATGCAATATTCCTGCTTCTTGGCAGGGGGTTGGACTGGATGGCCCATGAGGTCTCTTCCAACTCTTTGATTCTATGATTCTATGTCCGCAAACCATCTGAGTCTAGGGTACCCAGGATGGCTGTCTAACCAGTTGCAGCTAGTTAATGTGGTTCAAGATTGCATTAAGAAACTTTGGCCACTGAGTTGATTCACTGACCCTTTGGCATAAGTGTTCAGTGCAAATGTGTCTTTGCAAATGTCCTAGAATGGCAAACTACTCATCATAGGAGGGGGTGTCATTCTCAAAAAGAACAGAAGATGAATCATGTAAGAAAAGAATACAACACAGTTCTCCCAAAGAGATGAAAGTTACCAGCTGCAATGTATGCCTCCACATACTCCTTTTAAAGGTGGTTGATGCAACCATAGTGCATGTACAGCAGTGGTCCTCAACCTGTGGGTCCCCAGGTGTTTTGGCCTACAACTCCCAGAAATCCCAGCCAGTTTACCAGCTGTTGGGATTTCTGGGAGTTGAAGGCCAAAACTTTTGGGAACCCACAGGTTGAGAACCACTGGTACAGAGTGTCCGTGGACACCAGCTGTAGAGTCCTTCTTTGCCAGATCATCATCCAAGTGTGTTGCAGAGACTGCCCACTTGGAGAAGTAATGCAAAGACATACACAGTGCATTCTTCTTTGCAGCAAATGAAAAATACTCTGGTTAATCCTGAAGCTCCATCAATGTAAAAGTCAAGATCTTAAAATCCAGTATAATATAACATAGAAGTTTAAGCAAGAATGGTAACCAGTAGTGACATAGTTGAGAGAAAGTTGAAGTGGACCATGACTTGCTGATTCATCGATTGGCTATGTCTGGTGTACGAGGTTTAGCCCTGAAATGGTTCAATTCGTTCCTCCGGGACCGGAGACAGAGGGTGGAGTGGTTAGGCCAAAGCTCTGAGAGCTCCTGCCTTTGCTGTGGAGTTCCCCAGGGTGCTATCCTCTCGCCCCTGCTATTTAACATCTACATCCGGCCACTTGCTGGATTGGTGCGGAGCTTTGGCATAGAGTGCTACCAGTATGCAGATGACACCCAGCTACTCTTGCGCCTCGAACCTGGGACAACTGCGATTCCTGAGAACTTTAGGCTGTGTTTGGAAGCAGTGATGAGTTGGCTGCGAGCGAGCAGACTAAAAGTGAATCCTGCAAAAACCGAGATACTCTGGCCAGGCCAGTTGCCAGAATTAATCCAGTCTCTGCCTGATTTCGATGGGGAAGTTCTGGTTCTGTCTTCCACTGTTAAAAGCCTTGGGGTTGTGTTGGACTCGTCGCTGACAATGGAGGCCCAGATCACTGCCATAAGTAAGCAGGCCTTTTTTCATCTTCGCCAGGCAAGGAAATTGGCATCCTACCTTTCGGTAGAAGCATTGGCTACAGTAATCCACGCAACAGTCACCACGAGGTTGGACTATTGCAATGCCTTATATGCCGGCCTTCCAAAGTCAACAACCCAGAAGATTCAGATGGTCCAAAATGCAGCGGCCAGGCTGCTAGCAGGATCATCTATAAGATCCCATATTACACGATTCTGCAACAACTGCATTGGCTACCAATAGAACATCGGATCTCTTACAAGATACTGATCCTGACATTTAGAGCTCAAAATGGCCAAGGACCTTTATATCTTAGGGACCGCCTCATTCCTTTTTCCCATCAGTGGTTACCTCGATCCACCCAAGAAACTCTCCTATACATACCAGGCCCTGGGGAGGTACACCTGGAAGCTACACGGTGTAGAGCTTTTTCTATCTATGCTCCAATTCTGTGGAACTCATTGCCTCCATATATTAGAGCAATGTCGGAGTTGCGATCTTTTGTAAAGGCGCTCAAGACTTGGCTGTTTGGTTGTGCATTTAAGTAAAGTGATCAGATCTAATTTGCCAAATAGTCACTGTTGTATGTTTTTATGTTGAATGTTTTTATATTGTGTAAATGCTATTTTAAATTGTAAGTCGCTCGGAGCACCTTGGTGGAGAGCGACTAATTAAGAAATAAAGTGAAGCATACAACCAGTAACAGCATTAGAAGAGTAGTAGAATTCATGTCAAGTACAACTACATATATGTAATCTAGTCTGATAGGAAAGGTCTCAGAAGCAAGAAGAAATAGGTCTCAGCTGAGGAACCGGGACACCAAGCCCTGTTTACACCCCCTTGTTTTTGTCCATGTGTGTTTTAGTACAAAATAAGATAAGTTATAGAGCTCTGTATTAAAGCAAGGCAGTGTAGGCTCCATTCCAAATCCAAAAATGGGGTCTGCATCAATATAGGCATCATAGACTGATGTGGAATGCTGTAACAACTTCAGATAGAAAAGTAATATCCAGCCTAAGAACAATCTTGTCATGATGGAATTGAAGGTGAGGCTGATCTATTCCAATGGCTCCTATCCCCAACAGACAAAAATTCTTTCTCTCACCCTGGAGATTCCATAGATATATAAATCCAATTTTCCTAGTTTCCAACAGACCTCACAACCTCTGAGGATGCCTGCCATAGATGCAGGCGAAACGTCAGGAGAGAATGCTTCTAGAACATGGTCATATAGCCCGAAAAACCTACAACAACCCAGTGATTCCAGCCACTAAAGCCTTCGACAATACATTCAAAGCTGTTAACTTAAGGGTGGCCAGATCAGGATGTAGTTATATCTAAATTCCCCAAGTTAAATGGAGTCACTACGGTGTAATCAGAATGCAGTTAACCTTGCCCTCCTTCTCTTTGACAGCACCCTGGTACTAAGCAGAAAGGTCACCCATACTCTCCAGCTGAAACCACTCAAACACATTTTCAATTAGCTACAAACAGTTATGGAGAGTAAAACAACTCTCTCACAAGTCTGGAAGGCAGACCTTTATTAGCCTATAAACAACCTCAAAGACTTAAAACAGTGAACCCACAGAGCCAGCCAACTTCCATTAAACGACATGCTGGATCCGTGGGTGCAGGGGGGTGGAACCGGCATGCCACTACCAGAATGGCAACATGGGAGGCTTCCGGTGTTTTCCAATCTATGAGGGAAGCCGTGCGCACCACGGGCGCTCAACACTTTGCCCCATGTGATTGTCTTTCTGGCGAGGCAGGCAATGCAGGTGATGCAAGGTGTGGGACGCCAGATTCCTCAGGGCAAAGCAGACTGCCACCTCCTTCTGCTGTCGGCTGATGAGGGGGTAGGGCTGGATCTACACTGCCGGAGAATCCAGATTTACTGCTTTGAACTGGATTATATGAGTTTACACTGCCATATAATCCAGTTCAATGCAGTTTATCTGGATTCAGAAACTAGATATATACGGCTTCGGTCCAGCGTACCTGTCCGGACGTATCTCCTTCTATGTTCCACCTCAGAGCTTAAGATCCTCTGGGGAGGCCCTGCTCTCGGCCCTGCCGTTGTCTCAAACACGTTTGGTGGGGACGAGGGACAGGGCCTTCTTGGTGGTAGCCCCCCGCCTGTGGAATACTGTGTTTTTCAGTGTTTTTAGGAGTGATGGTCACTTGTTGGCCTGATAAGTGTCTTGTGTCCAAATTTGGTGTCAATCTGTCCAGTGGTTTTTGAGTTATGTTAATCCCACAAACGAACATTGCTGAAGCAGGGGACGTATTGTCGGGGGAATGGCAATCTATGGGTGCACTTTCCCCATCCTTTTTCTAGAATGTAAACATAGATGTTTTGCTTTGTTCTTACAGATTTTAGTCAAATCACACACAAAAATATTTTCAGGTGAAGAGGAGGGCAAACTGTTTACAATATTTTTAAATCTTCCATAGTAATTATTAAAATGATCTTAGGACATTATTTGAAAAACAAAAGGATCATGTATTTCACTGTCATTTATGTCATTGTTATTTTGTTTTCCTGTTAGATGGCCAAATGTGAAACCTATGAAAGAAATTATGACAACATAGTAAAACAGCTTGAGGATCTGAATAGGGATTTAGAAAAACTACTGGAAGACATGGAAAAACTATCAGGTGTGGCATCTAACTGTCATTGATAACAATGTCATCTCAATGCAATCAGATAGAAATGAACATACAGTTGATGTCAGTGCTCATCTGAGACCCATTTAATTTTTTGTAAAATAGCTTTGGTTTAATGCTGTCTAAGTGATACAATTCAGATGTCACAGAGTTGGATAATGCGCATTCTATTAAAACAATCGATATATATCCTAAACTATTTGTAAACTCCTTACAAATGGTATATTTCCATTGCATATGGTTTGTCCTTGTGACATTTGATCACAATGCTGTCAAAATTCTTACAAACAAACCAACCTTGGATGCTTAAAGTTGATTTAGGGAGCTTTAAGATATTGCTAGTCCATCAAATACTGATGGAGCCACCTCTATAATTGAACAGTTCTCTTGTAGATTATTTAAAATATGTTTTTCTCCATTATTTTCAAGTTTTAACATATTTTCATAATCTTAACTTCATCAGTTTTAAAAAATCAGCCAGCAATAATTCATTCTGCATTTTTATTATGTGTCTAACTAACTGGACAAATGGTAGTGATGTAAATTACTTAGTATCCCCTTTAGTTGTTTCCTTGTGTCAGGTTTTAGTATAAAGATATTAGAGATTGCATGTTGCTCTCAGACTGTTTTGGATAGGATTTTCTGTTACGTGAATTAATGGGAAGCAGGCCCGTAGCCAGGATTTTGTTTCGGGGTGGGGGGTGGGGGTGGGGGGTGGGCTGAGTTTGGTTCGGGGGGTGGGGGCTGAGTCTGAGTGAAAGAGGGTCTACCCTAGCAAACCTTTTGTATCGTTACCCCAATACCCCCATGCATATGGGATATATTGAGCATGGTGATCAGATCATGATATGAATAAACATAACAGTTTAAATAATGTACCAGTAAGGCCTTCTCACGAACCACTGGCTACATGCCTGATGGGAAGGGAGTCTGAGCTCAAAAATAAAGAAATAGTAAACGAAAATAAAAGAACTGGGCTAGTATTGTGTCCAGTCATTATGCCTATTGTTTTTGCCCTCTTTTTTTTTTTTGGGGGGGGGGGGRCGACAACAGTTGAAATTCTATGAAAAATGGAAATAGGGACATATCAACACTCTTTACTGATTGAAAATAATTTTCTTACTTTAGAAACATWACTTGTAATATGCTTGATTCTTCTTCGTGGTGTCTTTGAAGTACACAAATTGGGTAATTTGTGCCTGTTCAGAGCACCTCAGAAAAAGGTACATTTTGGCGGTGATCCTTACTCCCAACCGGTATATGTTTGTTTGTTTGTTTATTTATTTATTATTCGAACTTATATGCTGCCACTCCTCTGGGGCTCAGAGCGGCTTACAAGAACAGGCTAAAATCTAACACAATTTAAAAACAATTTAAAACAATTTAAAAACAGCAATATCAAAAGTCAAAGGCCTGTTGAAACAGATATGTCTTATATGCCCTGCGGAAAGCTGGTAAGTCCCGCAAGGCACGGACTTCAGGTGGCAGAGTATTCCAGAGTGATGGTGCCACTGCTGTAAAAGTTCTGCGTCTGGTTGCTGTTAGACGCAAGGTCTTGACACTGGGAATTTCCAACAAATCTTGGTCCTCAGAACAGAGGGATCTCTGGGGTAATAGTAATGGGCATCAAATCCCCCAGTTCCTTTTCATCCACCATTGCAGTAGCACCTACAGAAATCTTGAGCTTTCGTGTGCTATTTTCTACAGTTTCTTCATGGCCTTTTCTGATGTCCAGGCTGTTTCCATGACTTCTGGTTCCCCATCCATGGTCTGTCTCAGTTGTTATTGCCTCTCCAACCCCGGACTGTATGTCATTCAACATTCCTGTGCCCTTGACCCCATTTAGAGTCAAAGCTCTGGTTGTTTTTAAGAAATGTACAGATTGCAGGGGTAAAATCCCCGATACTGATGGCCATATGAAGTGTTTATTTTGTCATCTGTAAAATCACACAATCCCATCCATCTTCCACTTTTTGGTCATGCCATCTCTACTAACATTGACTGCTGCACGACTGCCATGGAACTGGGGAATTTGGTGTCAAATACCATTATATACCAACTAGGAGTGTGGCAGGGCTACTCCCAAAAATGTATCTTTAAAAATCTAGAAGGTTCTGAGGTGCTCTGTTCAGGAGCAGATTAACCCATGTGTGCGATTTCACAGATGACCGCTTAAAGAATTACAATTTTGTTATTGAATTACAGTTTAATAGCAAATTGAATTTCCATTTTCCATTTTTATTTTTGTGTGTGACAAGGTCTTTATACTGTCAGGACACCTTTTCATTAAGAACAGACAACAACAACAATAATAATCAAAGTTGAGTATTCCTTATCCGGAAATCTGAAATGCTTCAAAATTCACCTTTGTTTTTTGCTAGTTCACTGTACACCAATTGAGTTTCGTGCACATAATTATTTTAAATATTGTGTATAAAATTACCTCCAGGCTATTTATAAAAGGTGTATTTGAAGCATAAATGAATTTCATATTTAGATTTGGGTCCCATCTCCATGATATCTCATTATATATGCAAATATTTCAAAATTCAAAATAAAAATCCAAAATGCTTCTGGTATCATACATTTCAGATAAGGGATATTCATCCTGTAATAAAAACAATAACATAAAACAAGTTGTTGTTCATTCGTTCAGTTGTTTCTGACTCTTCGTGATCTCATTGATCAGTCCATGCCAGATAAAACAAGAGTTTAAAATATTAAATAGCTGGATTTCTCCATACTGCAAAGCCTAATTTTATGTGACAGTTCAGGTTCCTTAAAGGGCCCTTTCTCTTACTGGTTTTTAAAACTTTTATATGTACTTGTAGTATATCGAAATTTGGGTTTGTTAAGCAGAAAATGAAATAGATGTTGAAAACCATATTTACTTTTTTATAAATATTTTTCCCAGTCTACTTTGTTTCTTAGACAAATTTTGAATGCTGTTTAGCATTTTCCATATTATTTAGCATATTATCTATAGTCACATCTCCAGGTTTGCTGGTACTAGGATCATAGGGGCCCCGCAATAGTGAAAAAACCTGGAATTAAAAATACTAATTTTTAATTTGTTTAATTTATTTATTTACAGCATTTATATTCTGGCGTTCTCACCCCACAGGGGACTCAGGGCGGATTACAGTGTACACATATATGGCAAACATTCAATGCCAATTTTGACTTGCAACATATACAGACATACACAGAGGCTATTTAACTTTTTCTGTCCGCCAGGGGAGCTGTCGCTTTCATCGTCCATCTGCGACACTGATGAAGTACTTTCACATTCCCTGCATGCTTTTTTGCTGGAGTGCTTTGCTGGAGTCTTTTTTATGGCCTCAAAATTAGTTAATTTAGCCTCCCCATGCTTTAAGGTAGTACCTAATTTTCCTACTTGACAGATGCAACTGTCTTTCAGGTTGCAAAGGTCAACAACAGGCTACACACAATTGGTTGGAAACCCACTCCAACCCAGGCTGGCTTTGAACTCATGACCTTTGGTTAGAGTCATCTTAATGCAGCTGACACTCAGCCAGCTGCGCCACAATCCCACTTCCCTAGAGATTTTTAAGACCTCCAGCTAAGTCTAGGGTCAACTTTTGCTGGAAACAGACCATAAAATTGCACCATAGAATTTCTAGAGCCTCTGGACCCTCTAGCATGACTCTGAAGAATTTAGAAATTTCTGGAAAGAAATCTGTGAGTAGTCAAATTCTCAAAAGTCAAATCTGAATGTGGTGGGCTGGCTTTTGCACATACAGGGCACGTCTACACTGACCAGTTTCAAATAAATAGTGAAGAAAGTGATTTTGCTGTATAGAGAATTACATAGGAAATCCTGGAACCAGTTTGAGACCTGGATAATGATTACACAAACCACAGACCACTGATGCACATTAAGGGCTTTCTTTAGCATGGTTTTGTGAGTGTTTGTTGCTTAGCTCCTGCAGTTTGATGTTGGCTTCAAACATCATTAAATGGTCAGTGTAGATGGCTGTAGATTTTCACTGCTGTAGAATCATATGAGATGCCCATGTTGAAAACTGTCAGCAAGTATATGAAAATTTCCAGCAGCTAGGCTATCATAAATCAGTCATTCAAACATACACCTTGAGATTTAGTAATATGGAAAATTGTGGGTGGGATAGTAGATTTCCTAACAAACCCCATCCAATTATTTTATCTATTGGACTATCCCAGTGCAGGCTACATGGATGGCTTACGATATGGTGGTGATGCGTGCTAACCCAGAATTGGCCAACTCAATGAGACGCCTGGAAGATGCCTTTCTTACCTGTAAGGAAGAAATGGAGAGAAATTGGCAAGAAATGTTGAAAGAAACCAAAGGTGCTGAACAAAGACCAGAATAAATAGCTTTAACATTTCTGGTTGCAATGAAAACCTTGGAAGATTTTTTTTCTTGAGTCATCACTTTGTTTGCTCAGAAACATAAATATGTGTTTATAAAATAGATTTTAAATTATATGTCTGACGTGTGTCTTTATGAAATTCCTGTTCAGCAAATTGTAGCACTTTCATTCATATATATTTTACTAGCCGTCCCCTCCTACGCGTTGCTGTGGCCCAGTCGATGTACGAGGGTATTTTTTAAGTAAGGTCCGTTTGAACATAAGTACACAATGAAAGTTTATTTCAAAAAAGTAAATTTATTTTCAGAAAGTACATACTTCACTCTATTTTTCGACATAGTTGCCAAGTTTGTTCAAACACTTATCATACCTCTGAACCAATTTTAAAATACCCTCTTCATAAAAACTTGCCGCCTGCTCCGATAACCAAGAGTTCACTGCCATTTTCTTTTGTTTTTGTGGTCCTCTGTTAGGAGTTTCGGGACCCAATGGGAGCACAGTTTCCTAAACTTTAGGTGTTCAGAAACAATGTTGTAAAGCACTGATCTCGACACGTCAGGAAATTCGTTTGAGAGACCTGTTATTGTGAAGCACCTGTTCTCACGAATCCTTGCTTCAACTGAAGCCACCAAATCGTCTGTAATCAAAGAAGGGCGACCGGAGCGGTCCTCATCATGGACGTTGTCACGGCCATCTTTGAATTGTCGTACCCACTTACGCACTTTGCTTTCACTCATAACAGTATCACCGTACACTTCACAAATCTGTCGATGAATTTCTGCAGCAGGCAGGTTCCTTGCAGACAAAAACCGTATCACTGAGCGAACCTCACATGCGGAGGGTGAGTTGATAGTCTTAAACATTTTTAAAGCACAGAACAGAACCGTACAGGTTAGCTACAGAGCGGAAACTGAGCACAGTTGTTCCCGAGGCATGCCGGTACACGACGCACGCGCTCGTTGCAGTATGCGTGCAAACTACTAGTGTCTACAACAAAACGGACCTTACTTAAAAAATACCCCTCGTATATGTGTTTCATGTGTGTAGGTGTGTATATATTTATGTGAATATATGTGTGTTTGCATATATATGTGGTTTTGCACATGCATTGTAATGTATTTTTTACTTTTTATTTTTTAATCTCTCCTGCTGTGTTTTTCAGTATTTTTATGAGTGATGGTCACTCATTGGCCTGATAGGTGTATTGTGTCCAAATTTGGTGTCAATTCGTCCAGTGGTTTTTGAGTTCTGTTAATCCCACAAACAAACATTACATTTTTATTTATATAGATTGTATTTTCACAGCTAACAGTGTCAGCCATGTGCTCTGGTTATATTTGGGTTTACATTTTGTCTTTAGAAGCAGTACCTATGGGAAAGATGGTAAGGTGCTTCTGAGACAAAAGACCTGCTACTCGTACATATGCTTGTGCAAAAGTAAAACCTCAGGAACAAACAGAACTGTTTCCCAAGCACATTTGATATATTATAGACCAGCGTTTCTCAACCTGGGGGTTGCGACCCCTGGAGGGGTCGCGAGGGGGTGTCAGAGGGGTCGCCAAAGACCATCAGAAAACACAGTATTTTCGGTTGGTCATGGGGGTTCTGTGTGGGAAATTTGGCCCAACTCTATCGTCGGCGGGGTTCAGAATGCTCTTTGATTGTAGGTAAACTATAAATCCCAGCAACTACAACTCCCAAATGTCAAGGTCTATTTTCCCCGAACTCCACCAGTGTTTACATTTGGGCATATTGAGGATTCATGCCAACTTTAGTCCAGATCCATCATTGTTTGAGTCCACAGTGCTCTCTGGATGTAGGTGAACTACAATTCCAAAACTCACGGTCAATGCTCACCAAACCTTTCCATATTTTCTTTTGATCATGGGAGTTCTGTGTGCCAGCTCCTCATGCGGGGAGAACCTCGCACAAGGATGATAAAACATCAAATCATCCGGGCATCCCCTGGGCAACGTCCTTGCAGACGGCCAATTCTCTCACACCAGAAGCGGCTTGCAGTTTCTTAGGTCGCTTCTGACACGACAAAAAAAAAAAAGGGGGGGGAGTTATGTGTGCCAACATTGCTTCAATTCCATTATTGGTGGGAGTTCAGAATGCTCTTTGATTGTAGGTGAACTATAAATCCCAGGATCTAAAATTCCCAAATGATAAAATCAATGCAACCCCACCAGTATTCAAATTTGGGCATATCGGGTATTTATGCCAAATTTGGTCCAGTGAATGAAAATACATCCTGCATATTAGATATTTACATTACGATTCATAACAGTAGCAAAATTACAGTTATGAAGTAGCAATGAAAATAATGTTATGGTTGGGGGTCACGAGGAAGTGTATTAAGGGCATTAGAAACACTGTTATAGACTTTAGGCACAAATGATGGAAACAATACCCATTAAACCACTAGGTGGCACTCGTGCAACAAAAGTCACCCGCATAAGGAAACAAATGCCTATTTAATACCAGCAAGCAGGGTATTCAGTTTGGAACCAGCTAAAGTGAAACTGGTTTCACTGCACAGGTGATTAAATTGACAGGTCTGGAACCAGTCCAAGAAGGTGATTACATTAAACATGTAACCTGGCCTTAAATTACTTTTTAAATGTTTTTTCCCCATTTCTTGAGAGATGTCCATCAGCACACTGGAGGCATATGAGGTGAACAAAAAGGGAAAGTAACAACAGCAGAGGTAATCAATTCCACCTCCCAGGGGGTCAGTTAGCCCTATAATGCCCAGCTATGTCCTTGGGGCATTTTTTAGCAGCCCATGTTCTGGATTCCTTATTGCGCTTCAGCCAGGAATTGGGACCGTGTTCTTACCTTCAAGAAGCACTGCCTGAACATCAAGCAAAAAGTGGGCACTAGAAACAATATCATACGAAAGCTGACTGGCACAACCTGGGGATCACAACCAGATACAGTGAAGACATCTGCCTTTGCGCTGTGCTACTCTGCTGCTGAGTATGCATGCCCAGTGTGGAACACATCTCACCACACTAAAACAGTGGATGTGGCTCTTAATGAGACATGCCGCATTATCACAGGGTGTCTGGGCCCTACACCACTGGAGAAATTACACTGCTTAGCCGGTATTGCACCACCTGACATCCGCCGGGAAGTAGCAGCCAATAGTGAAAGGACCAAGGCAGTGACATCTCCAGCTCATCCCCTGTTTGGGTATCAGCCAGCACGTCAACGACTTAAATCTAGAAATAGTTTTCTAAGATCTACAGAGACACTTGCTGAAACACCTCAGCAAGCGAGAGTCCAAAAGTGGCAGGCTCAAACCCAGAACCTCAACCAATGGCTGATACCAAATGAGAGACTCCCCCCTGGGCACACAGAAACTGGGCGACTTGGAAGGTGCGCTCTGGCACAAGATGCAGAGCCAACCTTAAGAAATGGGGCTACAAAGTGGAGTCCACGACATGCGAGTGTGGAGAAGAGCAAACCACAGACCACCTGCTGCAATGCAACCTGAGCCCTGCCACATGCACAATGGAGGACCTTCTTGCAGCAACACCAGAAGCACTCCAAGTGGCCAGATACTGGTCAAAGGACATTTAATCAACTACCAAACTCACAAATTTTGTATTTTGTCTGTTTGTTTGCTTTGTTCTGTTCGAAATGTAAGATAATTGACTGGTTGCCCTGACACGACAAATAAATAGCCAGGATTTTGCAGAGCTGATTTTTCCCTTGGTCTGGGATGTATTTGGATCAGTTTCTGGCTTACATCATTAAATTATTGCTATACAGTTATTTTTTCAGCAATATAAGTATTGTTATACAATTTGTAAAAACAGTAATTTTCTAATGTATCAACTATACTAGCCTTCCATACATTAAACTACACAAAGAGAAGTGTGGTATTAAAGGTGCTTAAGGTAAAGGTAAAGATTTCCCCTGGCATGAAGTCCAGTTGTGTCCAAATCTGGGGGTTGGTGCTCATCTCCATTTATAAGCCAAAGAGCCAGTGTTGTCCATAGACACCTCCAAGGTCATGTGATCGGCATGACTACATGGAGCGTTGTTACCTTCCTGCTGGCATGGTGCCTATTGATCTACTCACATTTGCATGTTGTAATAATTATTATTTATTTACTAGCCGTCCCCTGCCACGCGTTGCTGTGGCCCACATGGGGGTTCTGTGTGGGAGGTTTGGCCCAATTCTATCGTTGGTGGGGTACAGAATGCTCTGTGATTGTAAGTGAACTATAAATCCCAGTAACTACAACTCCCAAATGTCAAGGTCTATTTGGGCATATGGTAATATATGCACGTAGAGTGAATATTTGTGCGTGTGAATCCTGAGTAAAACGTAAATATCCCCTTTGTTTGTGTAACCAATGTAACTATAGTCTGTCTCATTGAAACATATAGTAATTATATATGTAATTATTGTATGTCTCATTGAAACCCCGGTAGGGCAGTGGGTTAAACTGCTGAGCTGCTGAACTTGTAGACCGAAAGGTCGCAGGTTCGAATCCGGTGAGCAGCGTGAGCTTCCGCTGTCAGCCCCTAGCAGTTCGAAAACATGGAAATGTGAATACATCAATAGGTACCGCTCTAGCGGAAAGATAACAGCGCTTCATGCTGTCATGCCAGCCACATGACCTTGGAGGTGTCTACGGACAACGCCGGCTCTTCAGCTTAGAAATGGAGATGAGCACCACACCCCAGAGTCGGACACAACTGGACTTAATGTCAAGGGAAAACCTTTACCTTACTATTCATTGAAAACAAAATAAAAGAACATTTTTAGCATTTAAAAAAGTTTTCATGACAGTCCCCAGTGAAGTTTTGGGGACCCCTAAATCACTCCACTCTGAATTTGCTTCACTCTTTAGCCCTCCTCCCAGGCTGTTTTTGATGCAGATTGGATGGGGCTATGGAGCAGGTTTTATTCTCTGATACTTGTACGAACACGCTAAAGAACAAATGTCACTTATTCACTTTATCTTGCTGTAGAAAACATCAAAATAACATTGTGTTTACTACATAATATGAAAGTGGTCTTACTGTGTGACATTGTAAGGGATCATGGGTTTAGGGTGCAGGGTCCCTTTTCGAAGAAATCCACAGAGTCCAATT